ACAAGAAATTTTGCAAAACTTTAAATCGCTACTATAACGAAACGGAAAGAAATAGAGAGTTCGGTCAAGATTTATCATAAATGGGACTTCTTAAGCTTTAAAATGAGATGTCATTCATTACTCTACGATTATTAGTTTCGAAGATTTAAACGTTCAAAGTGAAACATGTTTTCGTTGAATCCACAAGAAATTTTGCGAAACTTTAAAACGCTACTACTATAACGAAACGGAAAGAAATAGAGAGTTCGGGCTAGATTTATCATAAATGGGACTTCTTAAGCTTTAAAATGAGATGTCAATGATTACTCTACAATTATTAGTTTCGAAGATCTAAACGTTCAAAATGTGACATATTTTCGTTGCATCGTCGCATCCGTGGGTACCCCCCATACCGCGGAGAAAGACGTAGGTTCTACGTCAAAAGTGGCCGATTCTGAATGAGTGTGAAGTTGATCGCACGAGCGAAGCGAGAAAATTTTTTTATGCAACACGTGCATGGAAAGTGCCCCATTACGCACGCTACGCGTGCGTGATAGATCACTTTCCAGGCACTTGCAACATAAAATAAGGAGTGTAAGTCGTGTGTAACTCGCCTTCGGCTCGTGCGTAAACTCCACACCCGGGAATTTTCATCTTACCTCACTTGTTACACAAATAATTATTTCCTAACGCGAGCGTGAAATGGGCCGCTTTTTGCGCTTGTTTTGAGTGAGCAAAACGATCCATTTCGCAATGATAACGTAAGCGTTAAAACATGGAGCCATTTCTCAACTAGTAGAGAAATGAAATTGTAAAACAAGCGCAAAAAGCGGCCTGTTTCACGCTCTTGTTAGGAAAAATAGTATAAACAACTCGTGGGAAGAGTGGTCGAGCCCAAATGAGTGTGATGGTCGACTTCAACTTCACACTCATTTAGAATCGACCACTTTTTCCACTAGTTGTACAATATACTATTTCGAGATTTTGATGGAAATAGGTTTAGAATATTGCAAAATGTCGAGAAATCATATTAGTAGAAAATGTCCGTAAGTGTGTGTGTGTGTGTGCGTGTGCGTGTGCGTGTGCGTGTGCGTGTGTGTGTGCGTGTGCGTGTGCGTGTGTGTGTGTGTGTGTGTGTGACTTTTTTGTACACGCATCTACTTCTACAATTTTTTAGATACCGGGTTGAAGTTTTGCACACAAATAGAGTATCATAGAAAGTATGTTCTCCTCTAATTTTATTAAAATCCGTCGACCGGTATGGATTTTAAGGGGATTTTTATTTTTCAGAAAAGCGTGTTTTGTAACGCTGTAGCTTTCTCAATATTTGAGATATCTATTTATTTCTAATTCTATTATATCTACTTTTCAGTTTTTTCTACCCCTATTTCATATATAATTCTTTAAAATTTGATTGATTAGATCTATTTTTATACGCGATCAAGGGTCCATAATTTTGTTAGAAATATGTGTGGCAAATTTTGAAAGATCGGGCTATTTATAGTTTTATTATATTCTTGGCTTAATTGTCTAGATTGGATCATGATCTAAGATCGGTATGATTCAAGCAATTAAGTCAAGATCGGGGCATGATCTAGACAATTATGCCAAGATCGAGGGACGATCCAGACAATTAATCCAATTAAGATCGAGGGATAAACGAGGAAGCTTTATGAGCAAAATAAAATGTTGATTAAGTAACGTGCAAATTTATAATTTGCATACTTGAAAATTGTGAAGAAGTAATGTTCAAATTTATAATTTGTACACTTGAAAATTATGAGAAAGCAATGTGCAAGTTTCTACTTGCCCACTTAAAAACTATGAGGAAGCAATGTGCAAGTTTCTACTTTTTTTGTTTGTAGAAATTGTTTCGAATAAGATACCAAATACATCAAAAAGCAAAATTCTAAAAAAAATATCAAAGTTTCTTGCTGAGAGTGGAGACAGAGAAGGAGGAAGAAAAAAGAGGGCACAGGAAAAAGAGAAGAGGGCGCAAAATCAAGACTAAACTTTCTTTAAAAATGTATAAGAATATATTATTATATACTTATTAAGGTTTAATTCATTTATATATTCATTACATTCTATATATTTTCAAAACTTATTTTATGCAACACGTGCATGGAAAGTGCCCCATTGCGCACGCTACGCGTGCGTGATAGACCACTTTCCAGGCACTTGCCACATAAAATAGGGAGTGTAAGTCGTGTGTAAAGATGAAAATTCCCGGGTGCGGTTACCGCACTCGCCTTCGGCTCGTGCGTAAACTCCGCACCCGGGAATTTTCATCTTACGACACTTGTTACACAAATAACTATTATATCACACGTGCATCGAAAGTGGCCCATTCCGTGCGCGCCATCTGTACGCGAAGTAGCCAATTCCATGCATGAGAAATTTCTCACTATATTCCCGCACTGAGTGCGGGAATATAGTGAGAAATTTCATTCCTGCACGACTCATTGCCAACACTCTCCTTATTTTCCTCACTCATTCTGTGTCTTTCCCACTAGAGTCCTCTTATTTCTGACTAGTGTCCCTGATTTCTGACATGTTCTTAACGACATCTCGCGGCGCACTACGCGAAACACTACGCGTGTTTCCGTGCGCTGCGAGATGTCTACGCGAATTACCACAGCGATACTCAGACATAACCTCAGAAACGCCAGAAACCGAGACCGACTCAATGTAAAATTTCTCGAAATACCCGAAATCGTCGAGGAGTCACGTAGCAAATGTGTATGTGTGTGCACGTGTGTCGCGCGGATTTGCACGCCAGGACGATTGATAAACCGTCCGTCGTCGGGATCGCGTCTTCCGGGAACGAAACGCGAATCGTCGGGAAGCCCGGCACGTGCCGGCACCGTTCCCTCGAGCTACGAGCCGGCGAAAACCTAATCTGCAAAGGCAACTGCGAAACGTAGACGCTTCGAGCCTACGAGCATTTTGATTCAATTCTTATTGGTCAAGACATTGGACTACTGTGTATACGTAATGTTGTTTCACCTTTCTTATTACATCATGTTTGCTCCTGTAATAAACGTTGCTTTTATCATAGGCGGGGGAGGGGCTCCGCCCCTCCCCCCCGCGCCCACCTCCCCGCCTGCGCCCAACTTTTCGACTCGGGGGGGCTTCGCCCTCCCGAACCCCCCGCCCGGGGGGGCAAGGCCCCCCCGGACCCCCTCCCAACTCGGGGGGCTTCGCCCCCCCTCGTTGGGAGAAACAGCTCCCCGCAAGTCCTTCTTTAAGGACTCGGGGGGGCTTCGCCCCCCCTCGCCCTGCAAGGACGACCACGACGGCTCGCCTCTGCAAGTCCTTTTTTAAACTTTAGACGCACTTGTGATATAAAATAGTGTGTGTAACACGTGCGGGTTGAGAATTGGACACGCGTGCGGAGTGGACGCACTCGCCTTCGGCTCGTGCGTCACTCCGCACTTGTGTCCAATTCTCAACTTCCCGCACTTGTTACACAAATAACTATTAAAGTAAAATATAATGTCATAAAGGTAATATTCTATTATGCAACACGTTGTCGTAACCCGACCAGCCTTGGAAATAAGAACATGCTTAATAATCAATACGTGATCAAAATAAAAAATAT